AGCGTGTTAGAGCAGAGTCTTTGTAATTTTTTTGTTATCGTTATTGTGCCTTAATGTTGGAATGAATTTCTCTGGTCCTCGTGATTGTTATTGATAGTTTGGTTTTAATGGGCTGGATGGGTCGAGTTGTTGTTTTTATCATGATTGTTATTATTGTTATTTTTTGTTTTTGTTGTCGTTGTTATTGTTATTATCATAATTGTTGTTATTATTATGATCATTACTGTTATAATTATTACTATTATTATTATTATTATTATTATTGTTATTATTATTATTATTATTATTATTATTATTATTATTATTGTTGTTATCATCATCATCATTAATTGATTATCATTATCATCATGAGTGCTACATCTATCATTCTCAATATCATCATTATCATTATTTTTCACCCTATTTACGATTTGCCTCCGTCGTCATCGTTGCCATCGCTCGCCATTATCATTACCGTTATCGTCGTTCTTATCGCTATCAGCATCGGCCATAACAGTTTCACGGTCGGCGCCACACTCTATCTCTCCTCGGCGTGCGGTTGCGAGGTCGAAATCGGTTATCGGTTGTGCAGTGGCGTCGGCAGTGCTTAAAATCGGGGAAACTCGCTCTGGCTCTCTCCTGCGATTGCTTTGGCTTTGTGAGGCCGGTCTTCCCGTTTTCCTGTTGCTTGTTTTTCGCTTTTGTTGTTGTTGTTGGTGGTGGTGGTGACGGTGGTGGTGGTGGTGTAATGGCTTGGGTTTTTCGGTTGGTTTGTCTGTTTATTTCTGTCTCTTTTTGCTTGATCTCTCTCTCTCTCTCTCTCTCTTGCGCTCTCTCTCTCTCTCTCTCTCTCTCTCTCTCTCTCTCTCTCTCTCTCTCTCTCTTTCTCCCTTCCTCCCTCTTCTCCCTCTCTCCCTCCCTTCCTCCCTCTTCTCTCTCTCCCCTCCTCTCCTTTCTTCCTTCCCCACTCCTTATCCTCCCTCTATTCCTTCCTTCCTCCCTCCCCCATTCCTCTGTTCCTTCCTCCCTCCCCCATTCTCCCTCTCCCCCCTTCCTCCCTTCGTCGATGCGAGTACCAAGCACTTATGTCCAATGGCGGCGTTTCCCCGGCTCGTTTTCGGCGGCCCGGGCGCTAATGGCGGCGGATTAATTTCGACGAGTTTCTGAAGTCGGAAACGGGGATTTTTTACGCTTTCTTTTCTTTTTTTTGTCGGTTGGGGAAGTTGGTGGGATGGGGGTCTTGCTTTTTCTTTTGTGATTTACCTGATTTTGTTATTACTGTTGTTGTTATTATCGTCATCGTCATCACCATCGCCATTGTCATCGTCATCTTCGTCGTCGTCGTCATCTTCGTCGTCAACATCATCTTCATCATCATCATCATCACCATCGCCACCACCATCATCACCATAATTATTACTATCATTATCACTGCAAATCTAACCCCGCCCCCCCTCCTCCTCCTTGCAGTATCAACGACCTTGGAGATTTTGGACATCAAGGGCCCGAGTGTGATCGTCAATGGCTCGCTCTCGATGCTCGTCCTCGACTGCGACTACGACTTGACCGAGTACGACCGGCCGGGACTGGTCGTCAAGTGGTACTACAACCGCCAGCCGTTCCCCGTGTACCAGTGGATTCCTAATAATGGTCCCCAGGTCAGTGGTTAGGCTGGTTTTATAGTTAAGATTTTTTTATATATTTTTTTCTCGTTTTTTTAAAGTTACGATTGTATATATATTTTATTTTTTCCGGTTTTCTTTTTTTCAGTTATGATTTTTTGTATATATATTTTTTCTCGTTTTTCTTTTTTTTATGTTGTGTTTTATTGTTTTGTTCTTTATTATTCTTTATCAATATTCATCTGTTTGTTCATTTATCTGTTTTCATTCAGTTTCTAGTTATTTTGCTTAGATTTATTCTATTTTACTCTGTTTTTAAGCGTTTCGGGGAGGGAGTTTCACACCGTGTCACTGAATTGCTAGTATAAATGCTAATATAATAATTATGATAAAATAATAACAAGGACAAAAAAAAATCAACAAAACAATGCAGAAAAGAACAGAACACACATCATAAAGACAACGACGGAGCAAGAAAAAAAAGAAAAGAAAAAAGAAACTCATTACACACATAAAGGCCATCCAACCAGTTACTGTCAACACGAAACAAACCTTACGTACAGCTGATGCACAAACTCCATTAAAGTTCTCAAAGGATCTCGACTCAATCCTCTTTTCATTTCGGATTTTCTTCTATGGGGGGGGGAAAAGGAAAGGGGGGGGGGGGGGTGGGGGTAGGGGAAGTGGGGGGAAAAGGAGGGGGAGGGAGGGGGTGGGGAAGGGGAAGGGGGGATAAGGAGGGGGAGGGAGGGTGGGGTGGGGTGTGGGGAAGGGGAAGGGGTGGAGGAATGGAGAATTAGAAGGGGGGGTAGGGGGTAATAAGGGTTTAGAGGGGGGGGAAAGGGGGAGGGGGTTGTTCATTAAGACTCATTTCTCTCGGGCCTTTGTTTCTTTTTCTT